TACATAATACATAAATATGTTTTTATGTGATATTTTCCTTCCATGAAAATCTATTAACAGGCTTAGCTGAAGTGAAATATCCTTAAAATATTTTAGTCTGTCTGTCAAAAATGCTCTTATTGTGAAACTCCGTGAGCGGATGTTGATTCGGAAACGAGGTTGGGGCAGTTTCTGAATAGCAGCACAGCTAAAACATCACACAAAACACAGTATAAAGCTTCGATTTTCATTGGGAGCGTTTTGATGTTGACATCTTACGCTACGTGATTTGTGTTGTTATGTTGTGACATCAGTTTCGGCGGCGACTGAGCTGAATATTTCACGTTTTTTTTAACATCCTGACCTCCCTGAAATGAACCAGACTCTGAGCTGAGAGAGCAGGATGCTAGCATGCAGGAAATTAGCTCATTAGCCCCGAATACCAGCCGAGCGTTATGAGGCTTAAGTTTCTCTTTTCATGCTCATTTTAAACGAAATCAAAGAAATGGACACTGAGGCTATAGTGATCCGTATAAAAACGCCATTAGGAGACATGGACTCGTCTGTGGACTGTCCATGTCTTCTGAACTTCAATGACTTGCTGGTGAGTAAAGCACTAAAACACATTAAAACTTAACATTTAAGCCTTAATGTTTTCACGCATCGCACACGCTCCTGCCTTTTATTATTTGTACATTTAACTCGTTCTGATAACCTAAAACCAACATTGTCTGTATATGTCAACAGCTCACAGGTGTTGTTGTTAATATCTTTATAATTAAAACAATTTCAGGTCGCAATAAGAGATGTGATGCCTGAAGCCACCGTCATGGCCTTTGAGTGTAAGTTCCTGTTTTTGTATTTCTGTAATGTTGTTTCAGGAACAACCACTGTGTTGAACTTTGTGCATAATCTGTTGTTAAGTTCACAAAAACAAATCATTTTTATTCACTCGTAATTAATTTATGCTTGTCTTCATTTAGACATCAGTATCATTTTCTGTTGTTGCAGTTTTTATGACTGTAGTATTTTTTTCCCCTTAGTTGGTAAAACTTTAGATTCAAGAAGTAAAACACTTCACATTCACTGGGAGGACCTTCTCTAGCAAGTGGCTGGACCTCTTCACAACAATTCTGAATTATGATGGGAAAAATAGTTAAATGTTGATTTGAAGTGTTTGTGATGAGGTGTGTGTTATCTAATCTAGTCATTTATTCTGTTTTAAGATGACTCGTGACATGAATCATTCACGACAGAATGCACGTCACTTAATCGTTAATTCGTGGCACATAAATATTGGTAATTACTCAACTAGATTATCAAAAATAGCCTAAATTTCTAAGTAAAAACAAGAATGTGTAGTGTGCATTAAAAAATCAGCATGGACGAGAATAAATTTTCCTTCACAACTATCTAGCGGCGCAGAAAAGTTTTATTTACAAAGTATTAAAAGATGTCAACAAGCGAAGACTTGTCCACCCAGACTTACATGTTGGCGCCAGAGTCTGACCCAGAGCCAGAGGAGAATGAAGACCACCAAATTATAGTTGGTACAAACCTTATTTGGCAGATCAGTTGCAAAAACTTTATTGTAATAGTTCAGAAAACGTCTTAGAAAATAGAGAAAACTGAATGAGTTCAAAAATATAACCTAAATAGTAGGGATGCACGATATATCGGCATTAATATCGGTATCGGCCGATATTGGTCATTTTTTAGAATATCGGTATCGGTCCAATATGTAAAAGTAGGCCAATATTAACATCCGATATTAATTTCCCACTTTTTATCTTTATGTTTCTGTTTTGGGAGGGGGGATGGTTGGTTGAGCAGCATCTGTTTGATCATGATAGTGATATTGACGCTGCACAGCCAGGAATAACTGAAGTAGAGCCATGTCAGATGTCTGGTTGTTTATTTACGTTATCAAAAGAAGACCCAAGTGTGTTTGTGTGTATATTAGGGGTGTCCCGATACCAGTTTTTTCAAGACTGAGTACAAGTACGAGTACTTCAGTTTGGGTACTCGCCGATACCGATACCGATACCAAGTAGCGGGGTTAGGGTGGATTATCTGTTCAACTTGTTGAATATTAAACAGAATGATGTAGCGAATTACTTAATGAAACTTAGGACCAGCCTAATCTTCACAAAGGTAATCCCTCAAGAC